TTTCCGAATTATAATTGTTTAATTCTCTTTAAACAATCTCCTTGCAGTTTAGTTTATGCAATACGTCGTAAAAGATAATGTTTGCAATGGTACAAATTATTTATAACACTGTTGTATATTCGAGATACATGTAAAAGCGTTCGCATCAATTTACTCGACTTATTATCGTGACGCGCCAGATTTAGCAAGAACACTTGTTTCAATAAAGTATACGTCATTCGGTAATACTAATTTTTACGCTGACGTTATTTAAAACTGCCTCGTTTTAACCAAACGTTTATTTTTCGCATTTGAACGATGCTGCTTCTCTACGATGAACAGCATGTGTCGTTGGTATTTCGATCGTTTCTAATATACAGGATTTCATATAGGATTGCAACGTAATCGAAATTCGTGCCAGTTGCTTCTGTCGACACGTTCTACTTTAGCTTTTCCACATCCTTTCCGTATCCGGGCTACGAAAGTCGATTATCCATTCTAAAATGATTTTAATTCTAGGAGCCAGAATTTCTTATTTTTCATCCTCTTCTTAAGCCACTTAGGGATCAACGCAATATTTCATTTGCAATTCTTTTCAATCAACTTATATCATATCATCAAATTCTACTTTATTCTATGGAAGCTGTGAAAAGAAAAGACTTGCTTAATATTTTTTCATTGTTATTATTATTTTTCATTTTTGCATTCTAAAATTTCATAAAACTTAAAGAAATGAAAGTGTTTATGATATTGCGATAAATTGCTTGGTTTCTAACGTATGAATTATGCTCCTTTTACGTATCAAAATCGAGCAATCATATTAGCGAACAACTATTTAATATTATTTTAAATAAAACAGGAAAAGACATTCGTTTGAAATAATTTGTGCGTGTCATTTTGATCAAAGTTCGTACACTGTTTAGAAAAAGAAGAAATTGATATCTTTCTTTTTGTGAAACTTTGCCTTTTTACATTGAGTACAGTGTATCTGTTTTTTAGTGACAAATGGATTTCAACGTGATATCGATGGACAGAGAGACCTTAACATTCAAATACGTGTTACCTATGTATTTTTGCTAGAATTTTACAAGACTATGATACAGAGCTGAAAGAAATGAGTAAGAAGATCGAAATGAAATGAGGACAAACAACTGCGTTAGCAGTTGAATAAGTTTGGAATGCAGCCACGGTCGGTATGCGGAGCATTCCCTCATCCTGTTGCCGTAGAATTGAGTGCGATCCTGGAACGCGGAAACTTCAAGTAACCGCTCCTAGGAAAAGTTCCGAGAGCGATCTGCTCGACAAAGCAAAAAGATTGAACAATCGAGGACTGCTTGTATACATAATGTACATATATCCATCTTCCATCCATCGCTATTCTTTCTTTTTCTAACCGCTTATTTTTCGATTTGTCGGTTTTCAAAAGAAATATATTTGATACGTGTTCAAATATAAGATACACATGCGTACATGCACATTTTATACACATTATATAGATAATAGTTGCATAGAGCACAGATTTAGAGCTACCTACTTTTCTCTTGTAACCATGAATAAATTTTTATAATTTCTCCAACAGTCGCGAATTGTTCCAAAATTATGCGAAAAATAAAAAATACTAAAGCTAATACTAAAAAATGTATGGTGTCAGTTAAGTATAATACAGAGTAATACAAAATAAGAACCTACATTAAACAATTATTTTAATAAAAAGGAAAAGAGTAAAAGTAGATATAATCCAGACGATAAATCTGGATGGACAGAAAGAACTAAAAAATCGAATCGTAATAAGAACAAGCATAAAGATTGCGTTACTATGTCAAAAACGAAAATTCAAATTCTTCAATTCTTCAGAGTTTCTAGTTTTGTATTAAATCAAAATTACTTTAATAAATTATGATTGTTATGAGTGATCACTAATCCATTAATTATTATCTACCAATTTATAAAGATTACTTGATTGATCGAATGAAAGACTAACGTTAGACTATTGACGACTTTGTATTTGAAGGAGATATATTTCAAGATATATTCATGAGGTTCTCGAATGTGTTCTCGACTCGATGATGATTACTTAATTCCTCGTAATATAAAAATATGTGAAAAAGACGAACGTACAATATTATTCGAGATTACTTGCAGTTTTTTTCGTTTAGTCAAATGAAATAACATTTCGTTGCTAAATTTTATTTCACCTTTGATAACTTAAAATTGTCATAACTGTAGCGTTATGTAACGTTTGGTGAATCAATCTGCTTTTGTTTTCGGTGACATTTCGTAAAAATATTTCATTTATTTTTAATATTTCGTGCGACGAGAATATCGTTGTTGAAACAATTGAAATATCTTTGCTCGAATATTATTAGCAGAGGTTAAAAATTAAATGAAAAAGAAATATACATCCGTAACTCTAGAAGATTAATAAAGATTTTCAATGTATTATAATATACATATTATATATATAAATTTATAAGCATACATTTATCAGTATTAAGAATCTATAGATTCACATTTTTTAGACATTCATTATTTAATTTTATTTGATCAAATAAAAAATTGGCAAATAATAAATAATTCAGAGAAAAATTATTTTTTCTTTTCAATAAATTAATGTACAAATATTTATACGATAACCGTAATTATGAGAGTCAAACATGATGTATATATATGTATATCTATTACGTACGTATGTGACTAATCATTTTCTCACATATTTTATGTAAATAAAATAATAGACTGGATTTGTTAGAAAGTGGTGAAAAGAAATTTTGTCGGCAATTTTTGTCAATGACTTTTTCGTGAACCGTGGCGATACGATAAAAATGATGCCCGCTAATTGGTCGAAGATGCGCGGATCTTGCTGGAATTTACGTAACACGTGAATTCATAAGTTACGATAATGGGAATGGTGATGACGATAACACCGTCAGTCGAAGCGTTATGTTAAAAATCAGAAACATTCGCGCTCAAAGTTATCGTCGTTCGTGTGTTTTCAAGATAGTTAAATTAAAGAAAAAAAAAAGGAGAACACCGTGAAAACTGTGAAAAATTCGAAATGTTCTATAAAAGATAGAAAATACAGTGTTTATCGTCGAATTCGAGACTTACAAATCATTCTTTAAGAAGAGATTCTTCGAATAACGTCATAAGTATCATCTACACTCGTGATTAGTTACCTGAACGGTTTTCTGAGAATTATGAACTTGTTTCTTTTCACTACAAGCGCAAAATTGAAAGAAACTATACACATTGTAATGACTATGAGATAATACTTTAATAACAGTAACGTGGGTCAAGATACAACCGAGTAACCACAGAAAGTTATATACAGGTGAAAAAAAAATATTTTATATTAAACATAGTAAGTAATATCTATTTTTTTAATTGATAGATTAACTTTTTGTATTCAATGAAATTACTGAAAGCTTAAAAAGCTTAATATTGAATATACAGCATATAAAAGATTACGAATGCATTCACTTTTGAATACATATACATTTTATATACATATTTTGGTACATTTATTCAACGTGTTGTAATACATTATCCCCTTTGAATCACTAATAATAATAAGTAAACTAATCATTTTAAACTTAGATTATTTGTACGATACTCTAATACGGACTACTAAGCACTGAAAGGATTAAATATTCGACAATACATGTAAAATGTATTAAGTATGTATTCTTACTTATTTTACGACGAAAATATATTACGGTGATCTATTTCGAAGAATGGTGGTTATTTTATTGTCAGTTAGAAACGAATTGGATACGGACTTCAACGTAATCACACGCAATAATTTTGAAATTATTACACATTAAAACTTTCGTTAAGTTCAATTATTCGATAAGTTCACTCCCAAAGATCACCGATTATGGTTGAAATATTTTGTGATAAATAGTAATTTAATTTTATTTGAATTATAATTTTGCTGCAGCATTTTACAACTATTGAATAATAAATTGCTATAATAATACGTGTTTATTAAAAATATTTATTATTGCGAAATAACCCCAAACCTACATGCGTATACATACATGTATATTAGGTAACTGCCCAAAATGATGAATGATGAATAATGTGATCGAGATTCAAACGAATTTTTAGCATAGGATATCGGTGCAATGAGTGAAAAAAGCAAGTCAAAGAATGCACATGGATATGCGACATCATATGAAGATTTGGCTATGAAATCGCGTATACGCGATGTAATTGACACTGAAAGGACTTCTCATAAAAAATCGTTATGCTATAGTCTTGATATGCAATTGAAATGCTATTATTTACTTGTTAATCAAATGTCATTTATAATCTAAACGAGCATAACATATATATTGTATATTTATATACATATGAACATATGTTAATCATTTTTATTTATCTAAACGGAATGTTAACTATAAGGATACCAATGCCATTATATCATATCGTTATACCATTATAAATATCTTTCTTTTCAATATTGACAAAATTGTACAAATATTTCTTTTCTCTTGCAGATAATACACGATCTTACCTCAGAATAATAGAGAGATGAAAATTGAAATTTCGAAGATGGACGAGTCACGAGTTGTGTGTCCGGATGAGGTCTCCATCGACCGTGATTTAATTTCATAAGGTCGGTGGGACTTTCGTCCGTTTGCAAGACTCGCTGAATACATCACATAAATAAATATAATCTCCACTTATGTCTTGTACAAAATTTGTATTATCTCGAAACGCACTGACAGTGCAAATTCACTGAAAATTACATATGTATATACATATAGATATGTATATATATAACACATATAAGAGGATATCTCAATTGCTAAACTATAATACAACATATATGAATTCATATTTGAAAATAATATTATAGAAAGTAATTTTGGGAGAATCGTTTCGAGGTTTAAAGCAAAAACGAAATTACAGGTAAGATATAGAATAATACAAACTATAACCTTCAATCCTATTGCCAAAGTTGGTATATTCAAATTCAATAGGCTATTTTTTGATATTAAATACTATTGTGTAGTTCCTAGGTATACGTTAATAGAAAGCAGATATGCACAATGATACGTATGATTGTTATGCATTTACTATTTATATATAAATTATACATCTACAATACTCACCGTTTTGTCCAACTTTTCAATTAGTATAATTTTATTATTTCAGTTATTTCAGTGACTCTGTATATACAGTAAATTTTCATTGCTGCAAAAAATAAAATCAAAATCAAAATTCTACTTTTGGAAAAGTGTTGCTTATTTTCTATATTATAATATTAGTTTTCATACAGTAGAATTTTGTCTATCTGTGCCTCGTTTATATAAATTAGTCAATGTTGTGCCTTAGACTCTCAGATACGAATTTATAACTGATAAACTACTTCTCTTATTGTCTAAAATCTAAACAAGTAAAAGTAGGATACAGAGAAAGTTGTAATGAGCTTCTATTATCCGAACCTCTTGGTTGTCCAAAATCATTTTGTCCTCTGATGTGTTCTACTGTACCGTTATATTTGACTGAAATGGAAAACCTATTTTGACTTGAGGAAAATCAAATAGTGAATTCAATCTAAAAAGGAAACTATGCCGAGTGTTTTTTTTTATCGTAAATCATTATAATACGTACATATAAAGTTTGCAGCGGGATACAAAGTTCGAAATTGTGCGATATCTTTATCCTCCAACCGGTATCACTGAAACCTGCATTGAAATAGCATCGTTTCTTTGGAACACGCAGCCATCACGCGGCAATTGACTGAAGATTATCCACGAATGCATAACGTTTATCCGACACTCGTGTAAACCATTCCAAGTAGCAACAATCCCATTATTCTGTCATCGAACGTTTGACAGTTTTCATCTTGGGGTCACTCTCCCGATATAGTGTATTTTATTTAACAGCGCTACAGAAGAAGTAAGTCTCAGTCAGTCTATACACGTACGTACAAAATGTATACAGTATAAGTGAATTTCTATATACAAAGATATTCGATCGGTACCTGCTATACGGTATCGAATTATCGAACTTTGTCGAGATCGACACTCGCAGGTTCATTGATAGATCGTTTCAGATTCAAGAGACAATTTATTATTGTTCGTTTTCTTTCTTTGCTTTTCGTAGAATTGAAATTTCAAACACTATATAATTAATCATATGTTATTAGTTTTTGAAATGAGTCCCGGTTGGCAGATGAGATTAATTTAATGCGGTGACATAGAGATTTTGTGTAAAAAAATAAAAAAAATAAATACGATGTTTCGTTTCTAACGAAATTATAATCAAAACAATTTTAGAATTGATTTTGTGTATTAACTCGAGATATTGCTAGTAATTAACCTTCTCTTAAAATAGACCATTATGTATTTATTCATTTTTGTCAGTACAGTTACTCAATAATAATGAATTATGATACGTTTATATTTTAATTTTAAATTGAAGTTCTTTTTTAAGTCTGATCTGAATTTAAAACCTGATCTATACTAATTTTAGCTTTATTCATCATCGATATATATGTATATGTATTTTTTGATTTATAATTTTGCAACACATAAATATATCAATGTCAAGTATAATATTTGAATATTTGAATAATAAATTTAACACGTTTATTTAAGTATACGTACAGGACACTGCTGACAATATTGTATCATACGTAATATAATAATAAGCCGACAGAATATGATTTTTATAGATTCTTTATAAAGATTCTTTATAAAGAGATAGATTCTTTTATAGATTCTTTTATAGATTCTTTATAAAGAGATAAAAGATGTAAAATAAAATTTTTCATCCGAATCTTTTTTGAAATTTTTTTCACTACTAATTATTTTATAATTTTTAGTCAACGAAATATTTATGGTAATCTGATTATTATCACTGTTTAGAAAGAAAATAAACGTATTTCTCTGGTCGAATCATGTAAAAATAATTACAATGGAATTTAACCGTCTTATATTGTATCATTAATAATAAGAAAAGAAACTAACACCGATAAGATTGTATATAATCACAACATGTTTGAATTCGAAACCAAGCTAACTATAGTACGGTAAAACGAAGAACATACGTATAAGGCATTCATTAATTCATAAGCATAAAGCAATATTATTTCATGTTGCATATATCAATAATTTGTTGGTAATTTTCTTTCAAGAATCTTATTAAATTTATGTTTTTGTAACGTAATTTAAATAAAATATTCATGCCATGCCGCATTACATTCACAATATCCACTACATTTTTGTTTTATACTTGATTCACGTTGTTCGTAATGATAAACTTTTTTTAAATTATGTAATTTTTTAAGTAAAATTTAATTTACTATAACATATACATACATTTGTGTATATAATATTTATGTACTAATTGAGTAATAAATGATGAATAAATTTTTATTGTTTCAAAATTTCTTCTTCTCCCCCTGTTTTTTAATTCGTTAATAATTATTTTTATATTTTGTAACTTTAATAATATCTTAAATCTTCTTGTTCCCAGATAAAAAATATAAAATTATACGACAATATGTTATCTACGGCAAAAACATCGACGGATAAATCGGTTCAAGGTGAATTGGTTCATACCGAATCAAAAGACACTTCGATAATTATAAAAAAATTAATGCATACCACAGCCGTTTCTCATGAAAATTTTCAAACTAAAAATGAAAAGTTCGAAATGAAAGTGGAACAAAAAGATTTGAAAGAGACTGGGAAGCAAGAAACAGCCCAAACTAAAAATGAAAAGTTCGAAATGAAAGTGGAACAAAAAGATTTGAAAGAAATTGGGAAGCAAGAAACACCCCAACTGCTAAATGAACAATCGAAAGTTTCAAAGCCAGAACAGCAACAGATGAAATTTAAAACTGCAGAATTGAAAAATGTTGAATTAAGAACGGAAAAGCTTAAAAAGGAAGACAAAGAATTAAAATGTAGTATTAATGTAAACCAAACCGATATACCAAAATGTAAAATGATTCCCATTGCTGATAAATTTGTAAGTTTTGATCATACATAATGCAACATAATTATTTTTTGTTTTACAGCAATAACTAATTCGTGAATAACAAAAAAATAAAATTTCGTATGAATTCACATCTATTTATCGATATTTTCGTTTATGTATTAAAAATGAAATATAAAAAAAATATGTACTTTTATAGATTTTGTAAATAAGATAGTAAATAATGTAAATATTTTAAATAATTAGCTAGTGTTTAACGTATAACATATTTGCAGGATGTTCCAAAACCTTCAAATGTTGCTGTTCCTCGAAAATGCCCTCCACTTTCTACACCATTATTGAGTGAACGCCCACTTGTTTTAACAACACATCTTGTACCTTCATTACCGATTAACTTATTTGAAGTACTTGTAGAAGCGATCGAAGTCGCTACTGAAAAACCTGTAGTGTTATTACACGAACCTAGAAGTGATAGACCAGTTGCAAAAGAAGTTGCAGACATCGGTATGTCATTATTATTATTATGTCAATTTAACTTACACGAAAGTAATATTATTTGGATTAGTTAATAAAAAAGCAAAAAATGATTTTGATTTTTTAACTGTTACATTATAATTAATTCTTCTGTATATATGTTTTGGATATATTATAAATAATAGATGGTATTGATTAATATTTTTCAGCTATCTTACCAGCAAGTACAAAGTGGAAAGACGGTGTGCTTTTACCCGTGAGTTTTTGTTTCGAACATCATCTTAATAAAAATAATTCATCGTGTGTATATGCTGATGTTGTTGTGGCTGCAGACCGCGCACTACATGTACAAGTAAGTATCAAATTCAAATATACAATTAAAAGTATAAATATATTGATTTGAAAACGTTTCTATAGGATATCACAGATCTTCGTGGTCATAGATGTTCTCTTCCAGATCGAAAAAGAAACATTGGCGCAGCAGCATTGTTATTTAACTATTTATACATGAAAGGTGAAAGTCCAGCCTTTTTCGGCAATACACTTGGTTCGTACATTATATTAAAATCATGTCCTTTAGTTTTAATATATTATAAAAACGATTAAATAAAATATAAAATTAATTTTCAGATGCTGATTCACAGGTTGCTACTTTACAAATGGTTGCAGGAAAACAAGCTGAAGTTGGAGTTTTAGAATCTCCTGTTATTAAGTGTCATAAAAACACACTACCAGGAATCAATTCGCTTCATATATTAACAAGTTTAGGACCTTTGCCACCTTACCGCGTCATGGTAAAGGGAACACTTTCAGGTACAAATGTTTTAGGAATAAAAATGTATTATATATATAGATGTATAGATAATAAGAATGTATCTCATTTATGCTATATGTTCCATCATATTTCCAGATGTTTTCAAACGAAAAATTACAACTTACTTATTAAACATAAATCAAGACAGGGAATGGCTAGATAGATTCGCTCCTTTTGGTGTTACTGGATTTACCAAAAATTTTGAAAAATTTTACAAGCTTGATGGCGTAAAATCTGTAGCTACAAGCGTACCATACTATTAAAAAAATTACATTATTGTATTTATATGCATATTCGTAACTATACATACATCATTTCTTGTTTTTACACTTTTTTGCATTCTTCTTTCACACATTAAAGTTTAATAAATATGACATTCAAATAGTGATTTTTCATATGTACAAATTATTTTAAAATACTTTCATAATGTTTGAATGTTTCACGAGTATTGATAATGGTAAAAAATTTATGAAATACTTCGTAAAAATTGAAGAACTTAATTCACGATTGAAATCACCAAAAATTTGGAGGAAGTTGACCATCAGGAGCAGGTATAGAACCTTTTGCTAAGCTGTTCTTCAAAAATTCTTCGAGACGTACCAATGGGCCACTACCAATAGATCCTGTATTTTTCATGCGCGGATAATATTCTTCTGATAATAAAGCTAACATTTTATGGAATTGTTTTCGATATGCGATCCATAATGTATTTCCAGCAACTTCAAGCATATCTAATAAGAGAGTTGCACAAAGATCTGTTACTTCTTTTCGCGGTTCTGAAATAAAATTACAGGATATTATTGAAAATTCAATATGATTTTTTGCAACTTTCTAGATGTCTATATTACCAATATTTGAAATAGCAGCCAGCCATTGCCATGCCTTTTGCAGTCCATGTGGATTAGTTTTAGTAACTCCTTTTCTTTGAGTCGTGATAGTAATAGAAGCATAAAGTCTCATCAAACCAGACATTCTTTTCAAAAATTTATCATGTTTCTCAATTGTACCATCTTCAGCATATTTATAACCCATTAATTTATAATAATCATCATTCGATTGTCCTACCATTTTTGGCATAAAGATAGGAACCGTAAATGGACAAACGTTGTAAAAATGTGACAGAAGTAAATCACCAAAATCAGAATGATCGTTCCAAAGAGCGACGATTATAGCAGCAATGGGAAATGCCATCTTTGGTTTACTTGAAACAAGCGTCTCACCTTGATTCTATTGAAACGGGTTATACATAAAATCTATTATAATTTAAAATATTTAGTTATATAATTTATATGAAGTTACATACAACTAATTTTTTAGCTAAAATATTTTTACAAAAATCTGCCCCATGCGGATGTTGATTAACATTTGGCCAAGATTTTCCCATAAGCAGATTATGCAATTTTTCATATTTATCTGTCAGGTGCTGTTGACTAATACCAGATATTGCATTTACAGGTATATTTATTGCTTTTTGACATTCAAATCTAAACTTTTTCGTAGCTGAAGATTGTAAAAATTCATCAAACGTTTTTACATAATTTTCTAAAAATTTTTGATTATTCACATATATTTCTAACAATTCTTTATTGACATATTTATACAAATAGTCTGTAAGTAAAAAGAAATATATTTATCGTTAATTTATTAAGAACGTAAATTATAATTATATAATATGAACTTGTTTTACCTTTATCCGATTCTGCTGTTGATATATTTTCTTCTATATTAATAATTGGAGTTTCTTGCGAAATATTTGTAGAAATCATATTCTCTGGTACTATATTTCCTTTTTCTTCTTCATCTTCATATTTCTGTACTTCGTTAGTTTCGGTATTAATTTGTTCTGATATAACTGGCTCACAAACTGTTTGACTATTTGGAAGCTCCTGTGATTCTGCCAATTGCGTTGTATGAGAATGTATCATATTTTCTACTCTAGTTAAATTTACTTCACTCTGAATATTTATTCTATCTACATTATATAAAAATACAGAATATCAAACATATAACAAAAACAATATAATTATATAAAATCCAAAAAGAAGAAGTACAACTTACCTATGTCTGATTTAAATAGGCTTAAAAGTTCATCGATTTGTTGAGCTAGTTTTACCATGATATTCAAATCAACAGATGTTATTTCACCTATCTATAAATGAAATATACATGTACTTTTGTATTTTTAGTAACATTTATTGTTTAATATGTATTTAATTACGTTTCATTATTTTATACTTTACCTTAATTTTTTCATCTATAAGTTTCATTTGTAGATGTAACTCTTCTAATTTTGCAGCATAAGAAGATAATACCAAGGCAAAAGAATTTTTATTTTTATAACTTTCAGAAAGTGCTATCATATCACGATATTTTTCAAAATCATTATTTTTTTGGACATACACATTTCTTAAAATCATTATTTCTTTAGTCAATTCTTCTTTTTCTTTCATTTCTTTTCTATATTTTTCAACTTCTTTTTGTCGTTCATGCCTTCTACGTATTTCTTCTTGTTCAGCTATTCTTTCTTCTGCCAGTATATATGCATAATTTTCTTTGCTTTTGCGTTCACGTTCTTTAGCCATATGTGAGTGTGATATTGCCATATGTTCTTGTATAGCTTTG